CACTTTTCTATATTCCTGATGATGATAAGAGATTCTTATCGAAAGCTCGAATAAAATTATGATTTTTGCTTAAATCTATCATGTTCTTCGTGGCAGTTTTATACTCAATAATTTACAGAAAGAAGATGTTATGTCATGCTCCGAAAACAGAAATCCGAAAAAGACTTCATTTTGAAGTTGTTTCTGTCCCACTCTCAGTAATCTGCGTGTGATCACCGTATGAGCAGTAGCGGATACCATATTTGTATTCAGTTTGTCCGCACTGGTATAACCAGCTGTGATCGCGCTAAAAGTCACTGAATTCCCCGTTAATCCTCTATGAATGTCTAAGCAAGTTTCAGAACTGAAATTAGCATAGCAAAAGTGTAATCGAAGTTACAAATTTTAATCTTGTTAATGGCTGTTCTGCTAAAATCTTTCTTAGTTTTCTTAGGTCCTGTTATTGTCACAAAAAATCCCTGTCCTTATGCTGGCAATATGATTCGGTTATGGGTAGTTGATATATTTATATGATGTTATTGTGTTCCAGTGAGTGGTGATAGACCACGTTTTAGTGAAATGGCCGGATCAGATTTGGATGGTGATCATTACTGGGTAAATGTCATTTTGTGAACTAAGTAATACGTTTAACAGTAACTACGAATCCGAAAGTGTCTATCCGACTAAAATAGAGCCGTAAGTTCGGGTACAGGTCACAAAGCGTTTACGAGTCAAAGTCTGCTCACAAGTTCGGGTTTTTGGATTCGTAGCCACTGTTTATAATCTTCATCTGATGTCCATAAATATCGTTCGAGTTTCAGAAAACTAAACTTCGATTCCTAAAACCGGATAATTGACTTGTTGTTTTTTTTGAATATGCTGATTTTAATTTTCACTAGGATAAATTTTAATTTTAATTTCTCCTGCAACATCAGACATCAAGAGAAATTCGTTAACACGTACCGCTTATTATTCTTTGAATTTGGCTGAGATGTGAATGTTCTTTTTCAACAGTTGTGCAAGAATCTTGTAGTGGAAAATTAGGGCTATAAGATACATATTGCCTGTGAATGGCTTGGAATATGATTAAAAAAACCATGCGCACATAAACTGATTGTTGATATTGCTGAAATCTCAGGTTAGCATAGATACTCCTGTGTTCTTGGTACCCTTGTTCATCTCATATTTGATAGTGGGCATTAAAACCTAGAAGGATCAATGTTTAGATGATTACTAGTATCATCAACTGAGTAATAATGATACAATTAAATATACTTTATTTTATTACCCTTTTCTTAATGACTAACTTATAAAGCTCATGAATATTTTTATCTCTGAGAGCGTCTACGAGGAACACTACCGGTGTTTGCACTTGAAAATCCAACAGCGCGACGTAAAGATTGATCATATTCACCTCGGTACACAGCTGCCACAAATTTCATATATTCATTAAAACTCACATCATGATTTAAACCTATCATTTTTAAAGCGCGATCAACGTCTGAATCTCGAATTTGTATACCAAGACGTCTTAGACATTGTTTTAATTCTGATAGACTAATGAAACCATCATGATTAGTATCTAATAAACGAAAGGCTTGCTTAATTATTTCTATTTCACGAGGAGGTAGAACATTGTTTGAATTATTACTATTCGACATTCAAAAACAAAGATAAGAATTTGTTAAAACATGTGTACGAAAGAAAATGATCATACAAGGAAGAGAATCTCTAACTCATTGGTTATCTCGTGTTATACACCATCAAAAGCATTTTGTGTACGCTTGGTAAGTCATGCATAACTCTCAACAGTGTGTCCGTTTTGAATCGACATATTCATCGCAGTCTCAGACAGTGATGAATATGGTGATTCAAAATGCATTGCGTATGTATAATCATTCAATGATTATATAAGTAATGCGTGTGGCACGCCGAAACTACCAGAAAAATGTTCATGAAGAAACTAAAAGTATATCGTCAATGCGATAACAAGCACCTTGTCTCGGATGCAAAGTAATTCAGCAATGTCGGCCTCCTAAATGTACTATTCGCTAAAATTACGCTCATTGAGCAGGATATAGTCACATAGTGGATTCTAAAACTAAGCGCTTACAAATGTCAGAAAATTATATTTCTTTATCAAAAAGACTATATTTATTTGCCTTGCATATTTATAACAAAAGGTGATGAGAAGTAAAGCTTTTTGTTAGTTTGCTAGCAACCATTTCAAATTATTTATTTACCCGATTTTAACATAGTATGCATAGTTCGCATTCGCAGCAAAGTTAAAAAAGGTCTATATAGCCGCTTGCTGGTGAAGTGAAAAACATTATGTGCCAACCCTAGTCGATGGTCTTGTTAAGCAAGAATGCAAGGTCTTGTGACATTTCTTACCCAAGAATCATTTCTTGCTCATTCTTGCCTCAAGAAAATGTTTTTCTTGCGCAAGAAACAAGAACACTTTTCTTGTCACTTCTTGCTGTAACCAGCCTCAACAAGATCTTGCAGTAAAAAAAACCAAACTTGCGTTAAAGGACGAAAACGTTAGCATGTGTTTCTTGCAATGAATAAAATCGCTACAGGAAGTTCTTTCGTTCTGTAGGCAGAGAAAACAAACCCAGGTCTTTCATCCCAGGCGGTATATGGTCGTTTACGCTGAAATACGTCAAAATACAACGGTCGTATATTCTTTGTTGAACAGAAAATCGCTTTTTTCTAAGGCGGCAGACATTTTTTTGAGATTGGGTCTATGGTAAGGCGCGGGTAATTCAAAGTTTCAGCAGATGATATATCTGTATGAAGCATACATCAGTCGATAGCCCTTGAAGAGGTGATCCCAAATATCACCTTTGAAAAAATTCTAGTCCTTTCCTTCGTGG